TTAGCACCTCTAGTAATATATTTACTGAGAAAAATGGTGATGTGTTCAATACTTATTTTACCTGCTGTATATAAAAAAAACATAAGGAGCATAAGTTTTCTGAACATAACAGAAATAAGTTGTAATAGCTACAAAAACTATATATTTAGCTTAAAACAGCTGAATTTAGCTAATAACAGCTTAACTTCAGCTAAAATTTCAGCAAATAGCTGAATATAGAGAAAAGCATCTGTAAGAAGCATTAATAGCTCCAATAGCAGAAAAAAGGCAAAAGAATAGCAGAAAGAAGCAGAAGTATAGCAGAAGTAGCAGAAAAAAGTAAAATTAGAAAAAAAGTAGCTAAAATTAGCACAATAAAGTGAAAAAGGATGGAACCAAAACAAAATGTGTAAGGTCCTGTAAAGATTTAGAAACATTTTAAAGGGTTTTAAGGCTGTTGAAAATAGCTCCATTCATTTTCAATGGGAAAAAAGTGGCCGAAAAAGTGAAATAGCTAAAAAAGTATAAAAGGCTGAAATACCAAAAGTCATAGCAGCCCTCGTATGAATAAGCTGAACGTTTTGATATATGAATTGTTGAAATAGTGCAAAAATTGTGGAACAAGTTAGATACCGAAAAATGTACGGAAGAAAAAACAATTTTAATTGTGTGAATGCTTTGAAGCATTTATACAATAAAGTTAAATATTTTATAAACATTACAGAAACATGATGTTCCAGCAGCCGAACCCTGAACTGTTTGTTGTGTAAACAGCTGAAACAACAGAATGTCTGCAGCTTGTTAAAAACACTTCAGTGCTTGAATTAAACTCAGATTATGTCAGTCTGTCTTCTGTGGGTTATTGATGGACCCTGGTCTGTCTCTGGTCTGTCTCTGCTCAGGGTCACGGCTGAGATGGTCCGGGCTCTGGCTCTGATGGACCCCTTCGTCTCTGTGAACCACCAGGCACTCTCAGACTCTGTCAGCTGGTTGATTCGCAAAACTCAACAGCCGGACGGATCCTTCAGAGAGACGTCCTCCTCCAAACTGAACAAAATCATGGTCAGTCCTCGTCTTCCTGAGGACAGAGATCTGGTTCATGATCCGGTCTCGTGTTCCTGAGGACAGAGATCTGGTTCATGATCCTGTCTCATGTTCCTGAGGACAGAGATCTGGTTCATGATCCGGTCTCCTGTTCCTGAGGACAGAGATCTGGTTCATGATCCTGTCTCCTGTTCCTGAGGACAGAGATCTGGTTCATGATCCTGTCTCGTGTTCCTGAATACAGAGATCTGGTTCATGATCCGGTCTCGTGTTCCTGAGGACAGAGATCTGGTTTATGATCCTGTCTCATGTTCCTGAGGACAGAGATCTGGTTCATGATCCTGTCTCGTGTTCCTGAATACAGAGATCTGGTTCATGATCCTGTCTCGTGTTCCTGAGGACAGAGATCTGGTTCATGATCCTGTCTCCTGTTCCTGAGGACAGAGATCTGGTTTAGGATCCTGTCTCGTGTTCCTGGGGACAGAGATCTGGTTTATGATCCTGTCTCGTGTTCCTGAGAACAGAGATCTGGTTCATGATCCTGTCTCGTGTCCCTGAGGACAGAGATCTGGTTCATGATCCTGTCTCCTGTTCCTGAGGACAGAGATCTGGTTCATGATCCTGTCTCGTGTTCCTGAGGACAGAGATCTGGTTCTTGATCCTGTCTCCTGTTCCTGAGGACAGAGATCTGGTTTAGGATCCTGTCTCGTGTTCCTGGGGACAGAGATCTGGTTTAGGATCCTGTCTCGTGTTCCTGAGCACAGAGATCTGGTTCATGATCCTGTCTCGTGTTCCTGAGGACAGAGTTTAGGATCCTGTCTCGTGTTCCTGAGGACAGAGTTTAGGATCCTGTCTCGTGTTCCTGGGGACAGAGATCTGGTTCATGATCCTGTCTCGTGTTCCTGGGGACAGAGATCTGGTTTAGGATCCTGTCTCGTGTTCCTGGGGACAGAGATCTGGTTTAG